GCGACAGTCCTTGCCCGGATAAAACCCGACCTTTCGTTTACTTAGATCCGACTGTTGTTGGAACAAAAGAAATTTTACTTTTGGTCTTTAAATACCGGCTGGCAATAATCAACTCACGACCTTCGATCAGTAAAACTAAAACTCCGACTGCGCTTTTTGTATCATTACAATTATTCAATCATTTCATTTATGTATATGCTTCACCTAATTATAATTCAATTACAATAAAAAACTCAAACACCCAGGTGGCAATGGGTGCAGAAAATTCTGATATGTAAGTGAAAATATTACAATTAGCTATTAACAAGAAAAATTTTCGACATGACTGTATATCCCACATGTTATTTGTGACTATGGCACCTGTTGATCATAAACGAAAACTAAACACAAATTGAAGCCAACGGCACAATAGATAAAAACAACACAAGAGCAGGTTTTTACACACCAAAACACAGCACACTTTGTGTGTCACACTTGCAAATTGAGGATTGAAAGTCTTCCAGGTGCCAAGGAAACAAGTTTCTCAACCAACTAGCACACTTTCAATCAATTACTGCTTGCTAATCGTACAAGTGAATATTTGGAATTGAAAATTTTTGAATGACGCCTGCAGGCATTTTCAATTTACTTGATAATGTGGTTGATTGTTGATTTGTGCTTGGAGGTGCATGAAGACTGCGGAGGAATTTTATTAATTTTTATGTGCAAAATATGTATGTATGTGTGTGTAGGTGTTGTGGGTGAAGCCAAAAAAAAACAATAATATGCAAAATGAAATAAAAAATCTATGAAGGTGGAGGATATCTGAAGCGCTGGCACGGAAAGGGTGCGGTTGAACTTAACAGGTTTGCCTTGTTTTGCGTCATAGGAAGCCGTAAAGGCTCTTAACAACATGTAACTAACCATTAAACACATATGCTGTATGTAAATCTATTTTTCATTGGCTATTATACTCTTGCAACATGTTGCTACAGAGTATAATAGCTTTGTTTACCTAACGGTTGTTTGTATCACCTCAAACTAAACGAGTTAGATAAAGGGTTATATATAATCCCGGGTGATAACCCCGCCCACTATCTATATAACGGTTTTGATGAAAAGTACTAAAAGATAAATCATTAAATAAACAAGTTAGAGACTTTGACTTTTGCATATAGGGTCGTACAATCAAACTTTATAGAAGCCAATACAAAAATTGGACAATGGGCGTGGCACCGCCCACCTTTAGGTGAAAACCCACATTTCAAGATCTACTTAAATAACATGTAATGCCAAAAATAGATAAAATCGGGTCAATACTATCCCTATCTCCTATATATTAGTCCATAAGTAAGATATCTTAGCAAAATTAACTCAACATATAATATTGGATATACTACTTTAGTCAAATGCCGAAAATATGTGAAAGAAGTCCACGAATTACCGAACTCCCTTATACTACATAAATTATTTTCGTTATTTCGCCGGATTTTATCCTTGCTTGTTGCAAGAGCATAAAATGTTCATTTACTACCGAACTTAGCTCTTCCTTACATGTTTTTTTTTACCGTTATCGTTGTGGATGCATTGAATTGTGTGCTGAAACTAGCTTGTTATTCGGTAAGTGAAAGTTGTTTACGAAATTTTAGAATGTAATCCTGTTGAAACTAGTACAGTGGGGCGGCAACACGGACAGGGATCGAGCGATTTCATATTTACATAAAGCAAGCCCAATACATTTTGATTATTGTTTCAGGTATGAAACGTGTCAAGGCTATACTCGTACCAAAAGTCCTTAATTTTTTCCAAAAACGACGTCAAGTAGGGGTCGTAAAAGCATTGTAGCTGAGGACGCTACATTCATCAAATGAATCATTACTGATGACAGCGTGAATTTATTTATGTATATGAAGACGAAACTTTCCAACAACCTAGCGAATTACGCTCCGAAAATGAGCCGAGGCTTATAAAAAGTTTATAGAAAATAGAATTAAACGTGAATCTGCTTGTATTGGCTTAAAAGAAGCCTATTTTGAAGGCGATAATAAAGTTGTAAAGTAAAATGTAGTTTTATTGTCAGTCCGTGTCAAATTTGATCGGATGGTATTGTATTTAATGGGTGAGTACAGCTTCTAATATATTGTAAGAGGCTATATATCTTCAAACTCTACTTTGAGCTGTGTTATCCACCTAATATAATATTATACCCTAAGCTATGAGGACGCTTTTTGATATAACTGAAAATAATTTTACAATAATTTCAAACTTCCTGATCGAAATGAAGAGAAACTTGATAAATTAGCTTTAGCATTAAACTTTTTCATTAAAGTGTTGAATGCACGCCTTTTAGTCCCAACAGTTAAAAATATACCAACGCCTCTGGCAGACTTATCAAATATGAGTACGTACATTTGAGTTTGAGGTATGTAGGTGTGTAAGCGCATAAGGTTAATGTGTAAATTCGCAGAATGATAGCTATTTTTATCAGGTGTAGGAGTTTTAAACATATGTAAATATTTTGTTTACTAATTATTACAATATTGCACTCAGCATGTTATTGTTTACACATAATTTACAGGATTTTTATAGTTAGAGGGATGAATGTTTAAGGGATTATATTATTCCTGGGTAAAAGCTTTTTTCGTATTGGAAAATTGGTGGAATGAAATACTGAGATGTGGCAATTAGATAGCAAAGCTAACACTGAGCTATAGAAAACGCTAGACTACCAAAAGAGTAGTAGGATTACAGTGAGTGAAATTTGAATTAACTTCTATGAATAATTATATAGCATTATTTTGTATAGAATTCACAAATATTTAAAAAATAAAATAATTGTTCGGCAAAATTATTTTTGGATAGAGAAATACTGTGTATACTAAAACCAGAGAATGTTCATAAATAAAGAATGTGCAAATGTCAAATTAAATTGGGTATTAATTTGTAGTTATTCTTTAATACTCTGCCAAAACGTGGCTTGATGAATGTTACTGTGGCTCTGAGTGAGGCGAACCAACTATTCGTAAGTGGTTTGATAAATTCTGTACATCATCGAAGCGTTAAACGCTGTGGATGTCCAAAAAAAGCTGATGAAAACTTTATAAAATCTTGAAAATGTTTTGGATTCGCCGTAGGTACGTAAGTAAGCAAATCCAAAGTGGAAACCCGCAACAGTCAAACTCTTAAGTCTGGTAAAGTTATCTCATCAAGTTTTGAGGACGAAATCACGGTAAACGTTATTCTGAGGACGAAGAAAGAGCTGTTGCATCAAGACAATAGACACACTTAAAGTTTTTCGGTATCTACCGCTAGCTACTTTTTTATGATATTAAACGTCATTCACTCCGTTAGCAGAGCTTCTATACTAGTCTTGAGCTCGCTGACAGTGAATTAAAAGCTAGTCAAGGAGTGCATGATCTCATTAGCAGCAACATCAAACTACTTCTATTCTAAACTTGTCTGAATGCCTGGACACAGCGGAATCAGCCGACACTGTAAAGCCGATAAGTTTGTAAAGAGGGCATCCTTACCCAAATCCTATCAGGATGGAAATGAGCTGATATTCCCCTCTCTTTCTGCGTTCTGGCGTTGCATCTATGAGCCTTGCGCGAACTTAGCAATCGTTGGTCAAACATGTGCGGTTGCGAAATCTTGGCCTTAGAGGCCCATTAAACTACTTGCTCTTAGCCAGGTTCACAACACCGCAATGATAGGTGTTCTAGCTGGATACTGTCCTATTGGCATTCACACCAATAGGAGGTTAAAGATATTGGAGGACAAAACTTGTCAAAGTTTCATAGGGGAAGATGATGTGGAAACATATAGACTAGACTTTCTCCTCCACTATCCAGCTTCCGCCACACTAATGTTGAAGCATATCGATTGCCGCACCTTCTACGAACCGGACGAATTAGCTGAAATTGATATTAGTCGCCTCAATAATTATAGAGCAGACTCAAAACGCTTTGTCAGTAAGCGACGGTCTTTTTGATCAATAACTAGGAGTTCTGGACATCATAACTGATAAGCGTCTCTAACTGTTCAAGTAGGTTTCACGAATATCAGCGTCTTTACCTAACCTACTTAATTTAAATGTAATTTAAAATGGAATTTAAAAGTTGGAAGAGGCTTAGTGGGTTGAAAAATAACATCGAATTCTGTGAAGAAAAAAATATGTAAGCGATATGTTCTTTTCAGATTGCCTTGTATGCGTCAATCATGGTTCGGATTAGAAAGCAGTTTTTATTGACTTTTTTTGCCTAATTGAGATTCCTTGAATATGAGATAGAATAATAACTTTAAATTTACAACCATCTTTCTTTAATATTGATTAAAAAAAATTGTCGTTATATAAATTATGAAGTTGAAAATTGCAAAACGAGTAGAGTATAAAATGGGTGACAACATGGTGGAAATATAACACCATTGACGACTATGGGAGTGATAAATGCAGTTTGAATAAGTATATATAAATGAAATGTTTATATGTAATTAGATGTGATTACCAAATGGCTTAAAACTAATTTATATAGCTATGCTGAGTGTGAGTGTGTTGCGTGGGGTAAAAAACGAATTTTCTTGTTTATAACGATATATTGTTTAAAAGCAAAACGATATATCATACAACGGTATATTTAAAAATCTTACTATTTTCATTTGAAATGATGTGATGCCGTTTCCCAACCGCGAATTGCCTTGATTTGGAGTATAATAAATTAATTTAAATAATCTTAGATAGTTTTGTGTACATTTGCGTTTGTTTTACGACACACTTATGCACATAAATAATATGAATGAAAGTAATTTAAAAAAATTACAAATTTTTGTAGAATTAATATGAATTTGCTGCATAAACAAAACTGTTGTAAAGGACATCGAATAAAATTGCGTTGCGAACGCTTTACAGTGACATTATATTCCGTAAATTATTTTTTTATAAAAAAAAATATTTGAAATATACGAAAATATTTATAACTAAATATATTTAATACTAACGTAAAATTATTATTTAATAATTTTATTTTTAGTTCTTTTTAGCGTTACGCATGAGGCAACAACGTTCTCACAAAAAGCAAATGCTACAACATACTTTTTACTTCTTATAAGTTTTTGTTTTTTAATTGCAATTTCATAACACGAAAACTGTAGTGACTTGCATTAATACAAAGAATCATGATCAGCATGAAACGATTATCGATCGCAGCTTTTTTTCTAGTGCTATACAAGATTTGTTTGCAACATTTATCGTCAACGTAACTCGTTTTACACCCAACACTTTTGGTAATATCAAGTAAAAAAAAAACAACTTTGCCATGAAGTCAGTATATACAGTTTACAGGTAGTATTTAGAATATTACCTGTAGTTAGTTATGTTTTTAAAGAAATTTTAATTGTATTTATTTGTTGTCACGTGAACGGCTATTTGTTGTATTTGCGTTCATATTTGGCGTGCTATGGTTGCTGGATGTTGAAACGCAAGCAGATGAGCCGTTCATTTGTGGCGTTGATGTGGGTAGTGGTAGCAAAGCATTTGGCGGTTGACACCAGTAGCCCTTCAAAGTAAAAAATCAAAAAATTTTGTTAAAAAATTATCGTTCATTTAGATAATTAATTATATAGAAAACTGATTTTGCATTATAGCCTGGAAATAAAAATAGGCACAAACATTAATTATTTTTTTTTGTGTTATTTTATTTACATTACTTTTCTTCCATTCAAGTCTAATATTTTGTTGATGCTCCTTTTATTTTAACCATCTCCTGACATCTTCGCGGCATGGAGCTGACAAGGTTAGTGCAAGAATACCATGTCTTTATAATTCGTGCTTTATTTTTTATTTTTGTCCACCGACTGATTTCTTCCATTCCATAGGTGTTCTAAACGATTGAATCCGCGACTGGGAGGCCATTCCATTACTCAACTTTATTGCGCTGAAACCACGAACCAGTTTCGAAGCATGTTTCGAGTGTTGTCATGCATAAACTCCCATTTTAGTGGCATGTGCTCCTCCGCAGAGGGCAACATTACAGTATTAAGGATGTTGAGATAATCTGATGAATACATTTTGTCTTCTATCCAAAATAATCGGCCCAACTCCAGCCGCTGAAAAGATTCCGCATAACATTATTGTTTATATTGTTTTTCGTGTATATCTGGGTCAAATTCAGCATTTCGTGGTCGTCGTGCAAAAGTTTTGCCATCGGATCCAAATAATTAACTTTCGTTTCATCCGAACACAGGCGTTATTCCTATTTCCACGTAGCCAGCATGTGCCTCTGAGCAAATTCAATTCTTTTTTTTCATTTTGTTTGCTTAAAAACGGAACTTTTCTGGCACTTCTTCCAGTTAGACCAGCATCCTGAAGTCGGTTTCTAACTGTGCGACTGGTTGTTACTTTTATTAATTTTATTACATTTAATATTTAATATTTTCAGAAGATTAAAATTAGTCCTTTTTGGTTGCATTACCAGCAAATGTCAAACTGTGCTTTTTTTCGTTTCTTCCTCTTTTTCTTTTTAGCGTGTTTTGAAAACTTACAGATCATATTTGAGCACACCTATTTCACGAATAGTTTTCCCGATTTTCAATTTAATAATGGTCCCATATTATTTAAAAATATTTACTTTAATACAGTTAATTTCAAAAACAATTAAAAGCCTCAATTTCAGAAAATTTTGTTGCGATCTTACTATTTTCTCTGCAAATTACTAAATAACGAAGTTTGTTCATATTATTTTTTCCAGCTCATACATAGCACGTGACCTAAATCATAATTTTTTGTCGCAATCCAAAGTACTATTATTTTTTATTATTAATTTTTTTTTTGTTATTTATTTATTTTTTTTTTATTATTTGTTTATTTTTTTTATTTATTTTATTATTTTTTGTTATTTATTTATTTTTTTTATTTTATTTTATTTTTTTATTTTTTTTTTATTTATTTATTTTTTATTTATTTTATTTATTTTTTTTTTTTTATTTATTTTTTATTTTTTTTTTATTTATTTTTTTTTTTTTTATTTATTTTATTTATTTTTTTTATTATATTTTTATTATTTTTTTATTTTTTATTTTTTATTTTTTTTTCTTATTTATTTTATTTTTTTTTTTTTATTTATTATTATTTTTTTTTTTTTTATTTTTTTTATTTATTTTTTTTTTATTTTTTTTTTTATTTTATTTCTTTATTTATTATTTTTTTTTTATATTTATTTTTTAAATTTATTATTATTTTATATATATATATATTTTTTTTTAATTTATGGAGTTATCAAGCGTTTTAAAGAAACTCTAACATTGAGACCTGACAATACAAAACAACAATAAATCTGACATCTACTACAACTTTTATCGGTTTAAATTTTTAAATTTTGATACCGAAACTATTAGATTCCCCAACCGTGTTATAATATTTCCAAAGCTTTAACGTATTACTAATAAAAAGTGTACACACCTGCGGTCCAAGTGGTCCACCTGCAACACCAATTGTGTTACTACAGCCAACTCCATTAACACTACCAGTAGAAGATTGTGGTTGTTGTACCGTTGTAATACCATTTATTGCCATACCACCGGCTGCTGCTGCGGCTGCCGCTCCGCAGCACCGGCTGTGTAATAAAAAGGCATTGGTGGAGGTGGTGCAGTACCAGGATATGGTATACATTGAAACTGTAATCCGTCGCCGCCATTAGGCTCAGTGCTTGTAAGCTCGCTGGTGTAGGATAATAACCGTTTGATGGCGCCTGTATCGGTACTGCATCTGATGGCATAAATGGTTGTGGTGGACCACCATTCGGTGCTGCACCGTAGGTTATAGCTGTTGATGTTGGTGTCGAGTGCATACTCATAGAAGCACCCGGTAGTGTGCTGATTGTGGGGGAGCGTAAATACTAAAAGTATGCGTGGCGCTGGCATTGGCATAGGGAATATATTCCACCACCGGCGGCCGTATTCGGTGGAGCAATCGACATAGACGGATCCCATTGAACTCATTGTACGGATTGTAAGGTGCAGCCATTAAAGTGTTGCCATTCGTGTTTGGTATACAGGCATTGGTGGCTGTGGTAGAAAAATTGATTTTAATATTTAAAATTAAATTGTAACGCTACTCACATGCGTTATCTTTTACCACCACCGTTAGCATTATCAAATTCGCTTGCGGAGATGGCATGCCATGTTCAGCAACGGAACCGCCAGTGAGCCTACACCATTACCCATGCCAGGGTGTTTTTTTCACAGCTTTGTTATGTGACCTGACGTATGACTATGTGTTGAATTTGGCGTATTACTGCGATTCGAATTATATTGTCCGCCGCTATTACTTTTTAGCGAACTGGCATACTTATTACCAACACTACCACTGTTATTTATAATCAGTTTGATTGTGGTTATTATTTAAACTCTGGACATTTGGATTATTTGTATTGTTCTGATTGCGTAAAAAAAGTGGTCGCTCCTTATTGCTGTTGAAATACCGGGATGGAAAACGCCTGTGCATGTGACCACCACCACCACCACCATTTTTACCGCTACCACTATTGGCGCCGCCACTATTTACACTATTATGACTATTTGATTGTGTGTTGTTGTGTATTACCCGACATGTTATTACCACCGTTATTATTGCTTGTTTGCGGTGTAGTCAAATTTGATTCTGCATGCTGTTGTTGTTAGAATCAAGCTTTGACTGAATTAGAAAATTATCATCAATAAATGATTTTTAAATGTTAAGAAACAGAATAGTAGCTCGCAGTCATTTTATTATACTCGAGTATATAC